ATATATGTGCCTGGTCCTACGTTGTAACTGACTGACTGACTGGTATATATACTACTTAAACTAATATCTTTATTTTTATTTCGGTACAAATTAATAGTCTGACATCTAGATTTCAATATATCAATTACATGTCTATTTATTTAATTATTTATAAGAATTTCTCACAATTTACATTCATTATGGGTACTTCAATACTATTATGTAATACTTAACAATGAAATTGATAGATCTATATTTAAGTGAACAACTGAATAACTGATAACACTTATATACAATTCTAACTAACTATCTATTTAACACTGTAAATATACAAACTATTAAGTCTTCATCATGAATGAAATTAATTGAAATCTATCATATATTATAGATTAATCTGAATAAAGGACATAGTTGTGACGAATTTTCATTGATCACTCTATTCTTTGTATAAAGTCTTAATATATAATAGGTCTAGTCCTATGGTACATGTTGTGTGTCTGAAGAAGTTTAGAAAACAGCATGTTACTGTGACCTATTAATTAATGGTACAACCATGAGATTAAGGTAACTTATTAATAGTGGAAGTTGGTAGTGTAAGGTTTGTTGTCAACTTTTTTATCTGTCACATTGGGTAATCTTGTGTGTGTGTGTGTGTGTATGGCGTTACATACTGAAGCAGTTATTTACGAAGTCATTTTCATTACAAAAACTAATAGTAGTGGTAGTAGTAGTAGTAGCAGTAGTAGTAGTAGTAGCAGTAGTAGTAGTTATAGTAGTAGTAGTAGTACTAGTAGTAGTAGTACTAGTAGTAGTAGTAGTAGTAGTAGTAGTAGTAGTAGTAGTAGTAGTAGTAGTAGTAGTAGTAGTAGTAGTAGTAGTAGTAGTAGTAGTAGTAGTAGTAGTAGTAGTAGTAGTAGTAGTAGTAGTAGTAGTAGTAGTAGTAGTGACTACTCCTAAACGAGGTTTAAATTCAAAATGTATTATGATGGGATGAACATTAGAAAATTTGGAACTTTCAAAGCTAGTTTTAGAGTATGATCATTATTTATAGTTTTATTGTATAATTACTAGATAACTGAATGAATCATTCCAATATATTTTTATATCTTTTATTATTCCTTATTAATTACTAATTAACTATGTACTGAATAGTTCGTCCTTTGCCACTTGATTGAGCGTTAAGTGTGATCTTTTTTCATATGCTATGTGGTTATATATTTCTAGTATATTATTGTATAAATTTTGGGTGATAATTGAATTAAGTACAATAGAGAATTAATTCATTTCATATATCCCACTTATCATTGGACACTGAGTTAGACAGGGGCTCGAGGATATTCTAGTTGCTGTTTATTGGTCAATATGTCAGTTGTTAAATGGAGGGTCATTCATCCTAATAACAATAAAGATGGACTAGTCGATAGTCGGAAGTTTGCTTGCTAAATCTAGTACTTGATATTAACTAGAATCTTAGTCCGAAATGATTCAGTGATATCTACAACTGCAACTGATCAGTGTATTTTGACATATGTGCAACCGCGCGGATTATCTCGATATTTCGATTGAACCACAAGCATTTTATAAATAGAGTTGAATGTTGGCTAGCAGTGGAATCTAGGACGCGCATTTCATCCTATTTGAGATTTATCAGCTAGATATATCTGGATCTCACGTTTAATGCTCACTCTATGACGAAGTGGATAATTCGATCAGGTTTAAAGTGAACGGTATTGGATTCGAATCCCAGAGTGAACATCAACTCTGTGATGTAGGTATATCCAGCTGACGAGTGGTAAAGAGACTAAAATCCACGTCCTGGATTCTTCTTCTACCCACTATCTGTCATCCCTGATGATTATGCTTGTGATTTATGGCAATATCGTGGCAAATCGCACAGTATGCACATATGCCAATAAGAGACTGATCTGTTGCAGTCCTAAATATCAATGACAAGATCCAAACAAATAATGTAAAATGGTTCAAAATGTTTATGGTTAAACATATGTAAAAGTGTGATCTGTTAAAAAATAAATTATCTTCAGTATAGAAATGTGGAAATTATTATAATCACATTAATAATATAATCTGAACTGGTAATTGAATAATTACTAAAGTTAATTGTTATTATAAAACAGAATCACTGCATAAATTATTGACTTTTATTTTTATCTTTATGCAATACTATTAACCGGTTAGGTCATTTTTTTTAAGTGTCAATATTAATAGGCAACATGTTTATAGAGTAAAAAGTGGGGGTGGGGCTAAGAAAAATTGTTCACCATGTTTTTCTTCTAATCTTCAAACAAATATACCATTCTGTTTTATTTTTTTTTTTATTGTCAAAAATAAATGATTATTAATAAAGGGATTTATAAAGATTGTAGTATATTAACAATTGAATTCATGAATTATGAACATTTTTCGATGACGGTTCAATAGTCTAGAGTTTAAATGTTTACGTATGAAATCAAAGATCCTAAGTTCAAGCCCTGTGTGTGTGATCTTGGATGTGTACTCTGCTGACGAATCCCATAATAAAACAAAACAATCATTAATGACTATCTTATGTTACCGTAAAAATTTTTAAAAAGAGAAAGAACAAAGATTTTAGCAGAGTAGCATGAATTCATTTTTATTTCGTTGGTTCTCGTTAGCTGCTTACAACCTGTGATATTTACAAATCATAATTATATTATGGGTTTAAATTACTTACATGAAAGAGTTTGGTTGGAAGTTATATTCGTGTAGTATAGCAAGGGTGTAAATAATTGAATAGACTGAATATTGTAAATATATATACCTTATCAATAGTGGAAATCATGAGTCAATTGAAGCTAGAACACCATGGAAAACCTGGAAGCACTGGACCGCCGTTTCTTCCTATTGTGGAACTCCTCAGTGGTAATGCGCTTCCACGATCCCGCTCCATGTGAAATTTGAACACAGGAACTATCAGTCTCTCGCGCAAGCGCTCATGATTTCAACTATTGAAATTTCTAAAAATCTCTACAAAACCCCTTTTAATATATACATTATATGAGAGAACATTCTACAGCATTGTGACAACAATTCAAACGGGCAGAAACAAGTGATTACATAATGAGTAAACGTTGATAGGAATAAAATGCGTAGAGCTCAGTTAATAAAAATAAAATTACTAATCTGGAAGGGAGATAAAATAAAAAATCAATGATGTAATAAATGCAGGAAAGAGCTTAAAGAGAAAAAGAAAAAAAATTTGAAGATGTAACGAAGGGATATTTGTTACTAAGGCAAGGAATAATTAATAATCATCACCTTTTGAACATATAAGTCAGGTTTTTGACACTTGATGACAACAGTTTCAACAAACTTCAGAAAACTAGAGTTTTGGTTGCTTACTAATCACCTTAAACGATTATAAGATATCTACCTGATGTCCTGCATCAAGGATTGTAAAATTTATTAATTAACAATTTACTATTACACTTAACATATAAATATCTATGTATTCACAATTGATTGATCACTGGGTGACCAATGTCATGCGTGTCTAGTCCTTATTATTAGTGCAGATCGAATGCTATCGATCATGTTGCAATGTGGCCACCAGTCTAGGTGACTCGACACTGCGGGCACTATTGTGAGATTAGATGGTGATTGGAGGTAGTCGACAGGAAACCCTGGACCCGGGTTTCGTGCTACTTGGCACTCGTCAGCAAGGTGTACCTGTAATCTTCGAGGGAACTGGTGCTCCCTGGCGGATTCGATCCCGTGTCACCCAGCTTCACAGTCAGAGACGTTACCACTGAGTTATCCGGGATCGATTCCGCCAGGGAGCACCAGTTCCCTCGAAGATTACAGGTACACCTTGCTGACGAGTGCCAAGTAGCACGAAACCCGGGTCCAGGGTTTCCTGTCGACTACCTCTAATCACCATCTAATATCTATGTATATTTATTGATTGTTATTTGTTCAATGTTCAATAGTAGAACACCATTTCATACAACTAATTCATAACTAATACAATTTAAAATAAATAAATAAAAAACAAAAAAAATAATAATAGTCATTTCATTAAATCATTTAACTTCTTTCATTACATTAAAACAAAAATCATCAATACTAACATAAATACAATATTTGAATGATTGACAGTTAATTGTTCATCATTTATACATCGTTTTTTTTCTTTTCTCTCTTTTTTTTTTCTTTTCATCAAGTTTTATTACTATGTCTTACTGTTGTTGTGAGTACAACGAGAGAAGAAAAAACAAAAAAAAAAACAAACAAAAACAAACTAATCAATGAATTATCTTAAATGTGTTAAAACAATAATTTTTGATTAAAATAGTTCAGTATTCATTTCATCTACTTTTTTTTCTTTTTTCTTCTTTTACTTCTTCATCGTCTACTACGTTATTTTAATAAAAAAAATCATGTCGTTTCTTATCAGTCATATATACTACTATAACAACTATGGCTACTACTACTACTACTACTATCATCAGTAGTAGTAGTAGTAGTAGTAGTAGTGGTAGTAGTAGACACAGCTCTATTTAATACTTATCATTATATGATAGGTGTATCATTTACATTGTTTTAAATAAATAATCATGTTAAATAGCAAACAATATGATGACTTGTGTTATGATTTATGAGTTATTTATCTATCATATATATTACTTAAAGAATATTTAGTTATATACAGTTAATGTCAATAGTTATTATTAGTATTATTCTATTATTTTTCATGCAACGTCTTATCTACTCTATTGTACGTATGTATGTGTGCATTGTTGATTATTATTATTTACCTGAAAATCATGAATATGAATGACTTCCTACACCAATTCACTCCATTCATTCATTCATTCATTCATCAATCTATCCATCTATTCAATCTTTAAAACAATTCATTGGCATATGTTCAATATATATATATATATATATATATATATATATATATATATATATATATATATATATATATATATATATATATATATATTCAATGATTTAATTTCTCTTATCTTATATACATGATAGATCGGATATTATTGGATATTCCATGTCACGTGTGTGAAGATCATTCATCAGGAAAACATTATGGTATCTATGCTTGTGATGGGTTAGTAAAATTATTATTATTATTATTATTATTATTATATTAATGATATGGGAATGAGTTTATTAAAATTGTTCAATAATCAATATACAAATGTATATTGTTTTGTTTTAATTAATAAAACATTGTATTTGTATTGTTGTTACAATAGATAGTGTCAGTTGTTGCCAATTTATAGATGTTGTAAATATAATTAACTGTGTCCAAATTTATTCGATAAATATATCATGTTTGTACTTGTTGTATTCACATGATACATATATGTATACATAGATGTGTATACAAATAATTGTCTCTTTTTTAAAGAAGAAAATGTTCCAATGTTCAATTATATATATATATATATATATATATATATATATATATATATATATATATATATATATAATAGTTAAGATCATGAGTCAGTTGAAACTAGACCACCATGGAAAATGTAGAAGCACTGTGTTCGAATCTCACAAGGAGGGATCGTGGATGTGCACTACTGAGGACGAAATGGCTGTTCAGTGCTTTCAGGTTTTCCATGGTGGTCTAGCTTTAATCGTCTCATGAATTTAACAATTAAATTACTATAATATCCACAAAATCCCCCTATAATTTTGGGGTAAATTGAAGATTTTTCTAATGATTTGAAAAGATGAGAATTTTTTATGTGTGTATAGATAAAGCAACAATCAACATTGGATTATATACATAACTATCGGTATGAAAAAAACGTTACAAGAGATTTATTCATCTTCATGATGATTGTAGGTACATAGGTGAATGATGAAATTTTTCTGGCTTCCATCTTGAAAGCCATGAATGACATTGAATAGTTGTTGCGTAAGCATCAAAGATTCAATTGGATTCTCATATATTTATTGTTTGATAATAGTGTAAGAATGGTAAGATTATATCATCATATGAAATACCTAGTTTCGATTGTTAACATAATAATAACAAATCTTCATGAGTAGGTTGTCTAGAAACAGTTGTTGATAAGATTTAATTCAAACTATACTAAGGGAAATTTAAACATCAATCAAAATCATCCACCTGAGCTACAAATCTTCTCCACCATCTCAAACATCATATACATTAGATAATTTAACAGTTATCTTAAATGAGTAGCATGAAATACCTTGGTGTTTGAAAAGAAATATACTGAGATTTCAGCCCTGTCCACTGAATGAGTACCGAATAGGATGAAACACACATTTTCGATTCCACTACCATCTACTATCCTACTTTAATAAAAGCTTATAAGTAAATGGCAATAGACAAGCAAACTATTCAGGATACATACACATCATTAGAGACTGATCAATTCCACGTAGTGATATAAATTAGTGGAAAATCCAATAGAATGAAACAGTTTCTTAATATTTACTTGTTATTTAGTGATTGATATAAGTCTATAAAATATGGGAGGTGTTTATCTGTTTACTTACAAGTAGTTTGAATAAGGTGACTTTGATTTTATTCCATAGGAAAAAAATACAAATGTAAATAACGTACATGGTGAGACTATAATTTATGAACGACCTTTGAGTGACACCAGAGTGACCCTGACAGTGTCCACCTAATAACTAGGATCAAATGACGGTTTTAAACCATTGTGAGGAATTAGAACAATGATTTACAGTTGGATGGATAAGGTTGGGAATTAGATTTTGGGTTTTCATCCTATTGTGGGACTCCTCAGTGGCAATGTGCATCCACGATCCCGCTTCGCGAGATTCAAAACCCAGAACCTATTAGTCTCGCACGCGAACGCTTAACCTCTAGACCACTGAACCGACCCGCATCCAAGAGTGTTAATGTCTCACTTCAAATAATCCATGAAATTGAGTGACATATCCACCATTGTCTTCAGTGAGTTACTATCTCATAACAGACCTCGTTGAACTCCACTGGTTACTGCTTCTCACTAGAACTACGGGAAATACCTCATGAAGTCAGTCACTAGTGGGCATGTGTTGATTCATATCAGACGGGGATTTTGTGGATATTATAGTAGTTTTTAATTTATTTCTTATTTATTTGTTGTTATTATTATATTTCTTTGTTGTCATTGAGTTGTATATTAAACGTTTTCAATGTACTAATGTTGTCTGTGTTTTTCTTTTTGTTTTGCTTGAATTTACTTCATGTCATTGCATCTTTATGAAAATGTGGACTATTATCGTTTACATGTATCATTGTATAAAAACACTAATAATAATATACATGACCACAATACATTGACACTTATGAAATTGATTGATTGATTCTACTTGATATAGTTGTGCAGGATTTTTTAAAGTAAGTTATCTTTGATATTTTTGGTATGAACATTGAGCTAATAATAATAATAATAATATCTGCACTCTTTTTTTTCATGCTTTCCTCTTAGCAATGTGTTGATATTACTTTAAATTTAAAAGAAAAGTACTTCCAAGTAGCAGGAAATCCTGGACAACTATTTCGATGATCGTCTAACTTTGGTCGATTTGGTTTATGACGTTAATAACATCTAACAATCTCAATAGCATTCATACTGACAATTAGTGACTAGTTTCGGGGGGGGGGAATTTCCCGACTTGTAATGATAAGCTGTGATTAATGAATTTTAATAATGATAAATGTGAGGTACCTATCCATTGAAGATAATAGAAGATGGTTACGCTGATTGAAGTTAGAAATACAAACTATTTGATGCTAGCTCAGTGATTTAAATGTAAAGTATCCTTAGCAGGTTTATGGATACCCACTTCTGAGGAGTTCTGTACTAGAACGAAATAGATGATCAGGACTTCTTAGTTTTTAGTGTTTATCTAATGTACGTCGATTGATAGACTTCATAGCCCTTAACAACATTCACACATCTCCAAATCTATTGAATTTTAATCTTTTTCATCTGTAGTTCAAATTCTATCTTTTTATGTAATTCAATTTCTATAAGTATACTTTATATATCTAGTCCATAAATGATAACCGTGATAACCAGTGTATATCCAAATGTTACATTTACTCATTATCATTTATTCACAAGACTATTGAAGATCTGAATAATCTTCGACTATGATATGGAATACCAGATTTGAATCATATAAGAAATATCAATTATCTAATGATTATAGACAAGTCCTCTTTGTAATGACGTGTTTAAACTCGTTTGAAACTTGACTTAAAATAAAAATTTTCTCCTGGTTACCACTAAACCTGTTTAACATTTATATTTATAATTTTTCTTTTCTATTCACCATCATTCATATTACTGATAAACGTAGAAAAACTATCATGGAGTGATTTTAACTAAACAATGATTGAAAATAAGAAACAATTAAATCGGTGATGGGTCATCTTAGTAATAAAACTCATCTATATTGTGTATATTCACATTGTGTAACTAATTGAATTGTAATCTACCATTTCATTATTTGCACTTCTATAAACTCTCCTCCCACTCCACCCCTCTCTCCTTTACACTATCAATTTAGGACATTTACCAAAAATAAAATAATATAAAACAGGCCTGATACTAGTGATGAATACCCTGAGCATTATATTCATATCATATGATGTGAAAAAAAAATGTTTAAAGAATATTTCTGTACTCACTTCTGTCAATAAAAGATGAAAAGGGTCATGTAATCATTTCAACTGTCAGTCATTTATATATGTACAGATTTATATAACTCCTAACCATTTTATTCTTAATACTATTTACTATACTACTTATACTACTACTACTACTACTACTAATACTAATACTATTTCTATTGCTTAGTAAGTTTAAAGATATTATTTAATGTAACACCAATGATAATGACGTTGATCTTAAGATTTAAGAAGGATCCATATTGTTGTTTTACAGTTGTTTTAATCTATTTAAACAAACCAAGATGAATGGTTATTACTACTGACAATATTGAATATTAGTAATCATCATCATAATAATAATAATGTTTATTAACTATACAAGTAAAGATTAATGATGGTAACAAGATTTACAATGAAATCATTAAACTAAAAAGCTGATATCATATGATTTTTCATAATTATTATTATTAACTATTTCAATTCAATGTTTCATTTGTTCAATTTGGCTTTTGAAAAGCTTGACGTTTTAATTAACTAACTCTCACTCTCCCCTTCTCTCTAGGCAAATAAGTATGGAATAGAACAGCAGGTGGGCTATATAATTGAGTAGTACTTAAACTCTGTATCCTTCTCTCAGTATATGTATATACATACACACACAGAGAGAGAGAGAGAGAAAGGGAGAGAGGTGAACGTATGTGTATTCATGTGTATTTGTAACATATCTATATGGATACTATCATGTAAGTAGATTCATTAATTTAATCTGAATAAACTCATAGAAAGGGGGTGGATGGGTGAGAACTTCAACTATATAATGTCTTTTATTGAGTGAATTGCTTCAAATGTATCAATTTATTTGGGAGAGATCATCATATTTATTGTTACAATTATATATTTTTTTTACCAAAATGTACAATATTACTATTACCATTAGTAGTAGTAGTAGTTACCAGTAGTAGAATGATTATTATTATTATTTTTTTTTTGGTATATTGACTGTAACACTTGAACATTTCAATTATTATCTCTTATGAAGTCATACCTTAATATTATTGTTGAATCCTATATATGAACCTAATAGTTGTTTAGTACACCGAAGATTTTAACGATACTTTAAATAATGTTTATCTGTCATAAAAACTGTCTATATATAGATATATTTACACTTATCAGTATTGAATCAACAGAAATATCTGATTCATAATCACCTAGTGACAATATCTTAGACTGTGGAATTAAGTGATGCAAGATCGAATATCATAGCACGCTTCAGTCACTTCACTAGGATGAGTGAGCTTTACTGATATTTGAAGTTCCCTGATGACTATGTCGAAACACCCTATATATATCTTTTATTAAATTGATCATTGCTCATTTTTTGTAGAGATCTATACGACGTAATCGTCAGTATACATGTAAAAGTCGTGGTACAACAGTTGGCAGTAAATCTGGTATCGTAGTCTGTCGAGTGGATAAATCTCATCGTAATCAATGTAGAGCATGTCGATTGACTAAATGTCTTGAAGTTGGTATGAATAAAGATGGTAAGTTGTTGTTTGTTACAATTTTTAGACATTCAATGTTCGTTTTATCAATTTATTCATTATTTTTACACTGATAAGTCCTAGTTCAATACTCTAAAGGTTGAACATCCGCGTGAAAGATTGAAGATCCTGAGTTCGATTCCTAACTACTGGATCGTTTGTGCGTACTGTTGGCTATCGAATGCTTTCAGATTTTCAATGGTTGTTTAACTTTGATCGGTTGATAATTTCCAAGATATTCATTATTCAATTTGACTAAATTTTTATTAGAATGATTGAAATAATGTTATCGCGAAATGACTTTTGTGAAGATTAATTTATCTTGAAGGTGATATTCCCTAAAGTTTGATCTTCTTTGAAATATCATTGAAAACCAGAAAAAGTGAATAGTTGTTTTGCTTCCAAATAGGGAAACTTCAGTAGTGATTACCTATGACATTATCAGAGATTAAAATCAAGTCTTATGATGAACCTTACACTACTGGAATATCATAAACTGAGCTTATCGAGATAACTCATGAAAACTAGAAAGTGTTAGATATTCACTTTTATTCTATCACTATGGAACTTTTTATTATATGTAAAGATTTAGGTGAGACTATGATTTGTGAACGAACCAATCAAATCTACAGTAACATGTCTTGGATTTTGATGCGAAATTCTTGATCCATTTGGCTAAATACCTTCTGGACATTTTAGCCAATGTTAGTATGTGATGAAAACCTTAAATACGATTTCTGACCATAAACACCAAATGTAAATCACAGTCCTTATCCTTCATGCAGGTTTGAAACTCTCATTTAGCCCTAGTGAGTAAGTTGACATTCTTAAGGCCGCTTTACCGTCACTCAAAATTCGTTCATAAATCATAGTCTCACTAAGATTTATTCGTGCTTGTTTTAAGAACATTTCATGGTTTATCTGTTATGAACGATGATAATCTATATCAGAAGCAGTTTTGTGGAGATTTCGATAATTTCCATAGTTTAAATCATGAGCCAACTAAAGCTAGACCACTATGGAAAACCTGGAAGCACTGGACAACCGTTTCGTCCCATTGTGGGAATCCTCAGCAGTTTGCACCCATGATCCCGCCTCGCGAGATTCGAGCCCATGACCTATCAGTCTCTCACGCAAGTGCTAATATTATTGTTGTTATTATCGGTTGTCATTAGCTATAATAATGATATTGTCACATAAACTCTAATGAACGTTCTATACATGTTTCTAAATTTTATTGATATCTATCACCTTGAAATTTTAAAACAATGGTGGAGTTCTTTCATCATTTTATCTAAAAGATTCAGTAACGATAAGCTTATTTTTTCAAGTGAATGAAATGTATCCTTATGTCCATATATATATATATATATATATATATATATATATATATATATATATATATATATATATATATATATATATATATATATATATATATATATATATATATATTGAGTATAGCCTACATGATGGAAATACTGAAAAAAAAACTTGACAATTGAATAAGAACTGATTTATCTGAGTTTAATTTATGTATCTATCTCACCCAGTCAGTCAGCTACAACGTAGGGTCAGGCACATATGTGCATTGGTCCAAGTTACCACACCTTACTCATTAGCACAACAAGATGAACACCAAACTCATAGAAGTAGTTAATTCAGTGGTAGTAATTTATCAAAGAAAGATTGCATATATATGCAGGAAGAAAGAATTAGTTCGAAAAAGAAAGATATAAAGGGGTTTTAATCTCACGGTTTGAAGGAAGACAGAATGTGTATACACCTACGCCATTGTGATCGATTCTGAGCCATGTCACCTACAGTCTCCAACCATTGCTTACGATAGTCGCGTGGACCCCAACCAAGTATTCTGAATCTACCAACATAGCTAAGACTGGAAGTCATTGACTCCATGGACTGATGCCATGTTTTGGTTTGGCCGCCCTTAATTATCTATCTATCTATCTATCTATCTATCTATCTATCTATCTATCTATCTATCTATCTATCTATCTATCTATCTATCTATCTATCTATCTATCTATCTATCTATCTATCTATCTATCTATCTATCTATCTATCTATCTATCTATCTATCTATCTATCTATCTATCTATCTATCTATCTATCTATCTATCTATCTATCTATCTATCTATCTATCTATCTATCTATCTATCTATCTATCTATCTATCTATCTATCTATCTATCTATCTATCTATCTATCTATCTATCTATCTATCTATCTATCTATCTATCTATCTATCTATCTATCTATCTATCTATCTATCTATCTATCTATCTATCTATCTATCTATCTATCTATCTATCTATCTATCTATCTATCTATCTATCTATCTATCTATCTATCTATCTATCTATCTATCTATCTATCTATCTATCTATCTATCTATCTATCTATCTATCTATCTATCTATCTATCTATCTATCTATCTATACGTCTAGTTCGACTGACCATTCAGCACAGATACTTCAGATCTACAGGAGATCATTTGTTATCCATCTGCGACTATCTCCTATCGCTTATGTTTGTTATTATTATTATTATTATTAATCATAATATTGACTGTGAATAGTAACAAAGTATTTTTTTTCTCTCTCAGAAATATAAATGAAACACTTTATTATAGAAATTGTGAAACAATCAATTTTATAATTTGATTCATTCATATATTTACCGAATTAATAGTTTAATGCATTGAATACAAATCATTGAATGTATATAGTACTCATTCCTCTTCAAGATCATACCATCACTATCATTATTAGTAATATTGACATGATGACTGATTGTTTACATTGATATACATATAGAAATTGTTCACTTTTAATGACTTCAAAGAACTTGTTAACATTGATTTAACCTTTTTATCTATAAATGTGTGTGTGTGTGTGAAAATGACTGTGTAGATTCATATGTATATATACATATATGTTTGCATGCATATACATATGTATGTATATGGATGTATATTGACTGTGCATTCACTGTTACAATTACTATGCTGAATATTATTATGATTATTATTACTTCTACTACTCCTGGAAAGTAATCTCACACTTAATTAGTACAAATTATTAAATTTTTTAAAAAAATGTACGCTTCTGTCAATTCTCAATTATGCTATTATTATTTTATATATTCTAGAATAAAATACATGGATGATAATAATAATAATAATAATAATAATAATAGTAATAATAATAATAGTAATAATAATAATAATGACACATTAACACGTATTAAACAAACTTTATACATCTATGTGAATTATTCAATTAATAATAATCATGATTCAGATGGTGGTATTTATATTCATTGTAAGATACTTACTTAATATGATATTATCAATTATTGATTTGATTAGTTATTTATACATAATTACACAATACTGTTACCCTAATGTTATAGTGGAGAATAGGTCATTTATCAATATTCTTTATTGATCTCTGTTTTGGATAATATTTTCTACTTATTTTCTATTATAACTCTAAGTTTTACTTCGTCTAATGTTATAACAGTTGGATTTACACGTTTACACGTGTGCGATGTTAATTTACCTTAGACTAAATATCTACACTAGATTCCCTCTCAATGTGTCTATTCTTCAGGATGTCTATGCAACTTAGATCAAGAGCACGTGATTAGCCTGACTAGAACGTAAATATAGATTTCCACACCAAAAACCCGACACAATCCAACAACAATAAACAAACAATAATGAGTCGTAATAATAATAATAAGGATAAGGGAATATATAACTCATCTGACAATTATCAGACTATCTAAATGTCTGACTAAGAAGATAACCAATCATTATCATTCTTGCCTACACATCATTCTCAGTTGATATTTATCATTTTCATGTCTGTTTTTGAATTCTCGGCACAATGGGTTGTTTAACCTTCCTCTTTTTTGTTATTTAATTTCACGATATTAAGTTAAGTTTTGTCTCATGATGTAGTTTGATGATTTCAGAAATGTATGTTTTATGCACTTCCAGCATTTCCTCTTCAAGTAAAACCTAGTTTGTTCCCTTATATAGTAGGCTGATAACGATGATATCCGATCAATGGATGTTAAGTATCTTGTGTACACAATTGTTTACATATGCTTGAACTATTTTGATGATGGTTATGGTAGTTCTCTAAGTTTCAGCTGAGTACAGTAGAACTATCTTGACGTTCGTATTGAAGATTATGTAGAAGGGTTAGATTATGTGCGAAGTCCAAATCATATAATTGCATCGAAGCTGTCCATTGTATTCCATATTTCCCCTCAAATGTGAAGGTCTTCATAATGCAGTCAATCACCAGAAGGAAAATAAACAAGAGAGTAAGCACGGTTGTCTGATAGTTACCACTATTCAGTGGTATTTTTTTTAGAAAATAAGCTTGTTTACTGAATCATGAAATTTATAGGTTGAATTTATCATAGATAAATCTCAACTGAGAAACTACTGAAAACCAAGCAATACTTTTACTTACTTTTTACTTACGCCTGTTACTCCCAATAAAGCATAGGCCGCCGACCAGCATTCTCCAACCCACTCTGTCCCGGGACTTCTTTTCTAGTTCCATCCAATTCTTGTTCATTTTTCTCATGTCTATCTCCATTTCCTGGCGTAATGTGTCCTTTGGTCTTCCTATTTTTCTTTGGCCTTGAGGATTTCATGTGAGGGCTTGTCTTGTGACGCAGTTCGGTGCTTTCCTCAATCTGTGTCCTGCTGAGACTATTGCTACACTGGTTGTCTTCTCCTGCATTTGTTGTTGCATTTGTGATAGAAGAGCCAGATCATCTGCGAAGTCTAGATCATCCAATTGCATCCTAGCTGTCCACTCTATCCCGTGCTTCCCTTCACATGTTTACATCTTCCTGATCCAGTCGATCACCAGGAGAAAGAGAAAGGGTGAGAGTAATCAACCTTGCCTGACACCGGTCTTTACCTCGAAGGAGTTTGTCAACTGTCCTCCATGCACGATTTTGCAGTTTAATCCATCATAGGAATTCCGTATGATATTGACTAACTTCTGAGGCACGCCGTAGTGTCGAAGAAGCGTCCATAGGGTTGTTCTGTCCACGCTATCAAATGCTTTTTCGTAGTCAATGGAGTTGATAAAGAGTGATGAATTCCATTCAATTGAATGTTCCACAATGATACGTAGAGTTGCGATTTGATCTGTGCACGATCCATCTTTACGGAATCCTGCCTGTCGGTTTCGAAGTTGGGCGTCTACGAAGTCCTTCATCCTGTTTAACAATACCCTGTTGAAGACTTTTCCTGGTATTGAGAGAAGAGTGATTCCCCTGTAGTTATCACAGTTGCTGAGATCGCCTTTCTTTGGTATTTTGACTAGAAGTCCTTCTTTCCAGTCTTTTGGTACCTGTTCCTCATCCCAGATCTTTCTGAAGAGAGTTTGTAGTATCACTGCAGTTGCCGCTACGTCTGTTTTCAGTGCCTCTGCTGGAATGTTGCCTGGTCCTGCTGCTTTGCAAACTTGATTTGTCTGATGGCCATGCTGATTTCTTTAATTGTTGGTGGGTCAACATCGATTGGGAGGTCCGTGAGTGCTGCTTCGATGTTGGGTGGGTTCAGTGGGGCTGGTCGATTCAAGAGTTTTTTGAAGTGTTCTACCCTTCTGTTTCGTTGTTCTTCAATGTTGGTCGTTCTGGTTTACGGTGATTTCCAAAGAGTTTCTTTGTTGTGTCATACAGTTGTCTCATGTTTCCTTCTCTGGTAGCCTTTTCCGCCGTCATTGATAAATCTTCCACATATTTACGTTTGTCGGTCCTGATGTTCCTCTTCACTTGCTTGTTTACTTCTGTGTATTCAGCCTGTGCCTTGGCTTTTTCTGCTCTTGTTCGACTGGTATTGATTGCTGCCTTCTTGTTCCTCCTTTCTTGAATCTTATCCAGTGTATCAACAGCGATCCAATCCTTTTGGTGGTGCTTGTTTTGGCCCAGAACCTCATGACATGTTGAAGTGATTGCCTCTTTTATCTCTTTCCAGTCGCTCTCTATAGTAGTTCCTTCTCCATTGAGTAGATCATGGAAGGCTTGGAACTTATTGTTGAGGGCTATCTTGAATTTGTTGAGTTTGTCATTATCCCGAAGAAGAGCCATATTAAATTTTTGTGATATTGTCCTCCCCGTTGCCCAGTGCTTCTTGAGTTTCAATTTCATCTTGGCGACGAGCGAGTGATGATCTGATGCTATATCAGCTCCTCTTTTGGTTCTCACGTCCTCCATCGTCCTCCTGAACTTTTTGTTGATGCAGATATGGTCGATTTGGTTTTGTGTAGTGTGATCCGGTGAAGTCCATGTGATTTTGTGGATGCGTTTATGTGGGAATATAGTCCCGCCTATGACCAGTTTATTGAAGGCACATAGGTTTGCAAATCTCTCACCATTTTCGTTCCATTCTCCTAGTCCGTGTCGTCCCATGATCTCTTCATATCCAGTGTTGTCAATTTCAACCTTGGCATTTAAATCTCCCATCAGAATGGTCAGGTCCTTTGTTGAGCACTTCTCGACGATTGACTGCAGCCTATCGTAGAATTGATCTTTAGCATCTTAATTGTAGTCGTTGGTAGGCGCGTAGCATTGGATGACGTTCATTGTAATGCCCTCTTTCTTTGTTTTGAAGGAGGCTTTGATGATCCTTGGTCCATGAGATTCCCATCCTATAAGTGCATTTTGTGCTTGTTTGGACAGCATCAATGCAACTCCTTGTGTATGTGGGGCATTTTCTTGTTCATGTCCGGAGTATAACAGCAGCTCGATTGAAGCTAGTCGTTGTTGTCCAACTTGCGTCCAATGTGTTTCAGTGATCCCAAGCACCTCTAGGTTGTATCTCGTCATTTCTGCAGCAATTTGGAAAACTCTCCCAGTCTCACACATTGTACGAGCATTCCATGTACCTAAATAAATGGTTTCACTGGTTATCAGAAGGAGCATCGGCCTCATGACTTCCGAAGGAACTCGGCTTTCATCATGAGGCGTCATAATTTTTCTGAACGAAGACCTCCTGACTCCCAGGGCAGAGTTTAAATGGTTTGAATAACTTTTTCCGGCAGTAGCCCCCCCGAAAGTGACTCCAGGCGGAGTTAAAACCAAGCAATAATGATCAGTTATTACATTATAGGCGATGAGTATATCCAACCTAGGACATTAAGTGATGTTCTGGGAGCACTTAAGCTTCAAACATTTAAATTAAAATTAAATGGTTTACATCTATAATATGGTTTATATCTGGGTTTTTACATCATTGATGAATTTCTTCAACTTTAGAATGGGCTATACAGTTTTGATGTCAAAGAATCCTTAGTATAGAAGTTCATTTGTTGAGTTTAACTATTTTCTCTTTGAAACTATCACACAACAACAAACAGATTCTTTCAAATATCTTCGTATAAACTCCACCAAATAGATCTATGAAAAATCAGTATCGATCATAGCTGCTTCCTAGATTTATTAGTCAAAATTACCCATCGTGATGACCCAGTCGAGATAATATTTATCAAAATGTTTACTTTCTTAGTTTTTTACTAAACCACGTTGGTTAGTTAAAGAACAATAAAACTAAAGGTAGTTAATGAATAATGACTTCAGGCATCTATATACTGTTCACAAACCCATAAACACACTATTAAATTAATACAATCCTCACAAAACCCTTTCCTGATAATAATAATAATAATCATGTGCTCAATGGTGAAAGAGATATTTTCTGAAGTTCTAGTGAGAAGCCGTAACCGCTGGAGTTCAATGGTGGATGGTCGCTCAATATTGTTGATTAGTTATAGTCAGACATTAACACCATTGTATGCCAGCCCGCTCAGTGATCTACAGGTTAAGCGTTCGTGTGCAAGACCAAAGCTCATGGGTTTGAATCCCTTATACAGGATCGTAGATGCTTACTACTGAGGAGTCCTATACTAGAACGAGACGGTTATCTAGTGTTTCCAAGTTTTTGATGGTGATCTAGGTTCAGTCGACTTATGATTGAACTATTAAATAAGCATTCCGTTAATATTCTACTTAAAATATTAATCTTGAAATATATATCTATCCCTCATTTAATTAATTCAATGGTGTGGTTTCGGTTTAGAATTGAATCACTTATCAATTATACACCATTGTTGATCAAAACTATTTAGATAACAAATATAGATATTGATTTAATAAAAATAAAACTTGATTACATAATTAGACTTTACAAGCATATTATATACAAAGTGAAACTAAATAGAAATTGATAATTTTTCTATGGAAATCAAACAAACAAACAATCAAGAACGATTTAGCGTTGTTTCAGTCG